CTTTTCCAAAATCCCAAAAACAAACGAAGTTATGATTTTTCAAAAAATTTTTTGAAAAAATCGAGCAAAATTTTTGGCCGAAATCTCAACTTTACCAAAAATTTTAAAACCTGCCCAAATTATATATCAAATGTAAGCACTTAATGAGCTGAGTATAAAAATAAAATCAGAAAAAATTTCTGACCATTTTGTACAAATTTATGAGTGACCAAATCTTGGGTCTCCACAACTTCAGGCCATGAGTGAAACTTTTTGGCCTCTAACTTGGAGGAAAAATTTTCAAAAATATTTTTAAAAAATTCGCTTGATTTTTACACGTCGAATGACACCTCAATCATATTTTTCCGATAACTACTTCAAAAGTTACAAAAAACGCCTCACCGTTGCTTAACTTTCCAGATCGGACGGTCTAGATCGTCAAAATTAAAAAGTTTTCCCCAAAATTTTAATTTCTTAAAAAATTAATAACTTTTTCAAAAAAAGTCGAAAAAGCATAAAACAAAGCTTATTCGATGCAGAATTTAATTCTCTATCTTCCATCTCCCAACACTTTTCTTTTAACTCCAAAACAAAATATAGTTAAGGGCGTTCGGCGCGAATTACTGAAATGTAAATAAGCTTTTTGGGTATAAAGGCTGACTCCAGCGTTATTACCATTAAAAGAATTCAATTTGTCATAATTTCCCAATATTTGAAAACTTCAGACTCAAATGTCCATTCTCAGACTCAAGTGACACTCTTAAAATTATCTTCATTCAACTCCTTATTCAATTCTCAATCGAATGACACCTCAACCATCTTTCTACGACTAATACATCAAAAGTTATAAAATTTTAAATTTAAGCATAAAATCGACATGCGGGCCTTCGGCCCGCATGTTTTCTGCAACGCGTTTCAAATTTAAAAAAATATTTTCAATTATGGCAGTTGCTTCCGGCAACGCGTTTTCTGCAACGCGTTGCGATTTCTTAAAAAATAATTTTAAAGTCTGGCGGTTGCCTCCGGCAACGCGTTTTCTGCAACGCGTTCCGAATTTTTAAAATATAATTTTTAATTCTGGCGGTTGCCTCCGGCAACGCGTTTTCTGCAACGCGTTCCAATTTCCGTAAAAAATAATTTTTAATTCCTGGCGGTTGCCTCCGGCAACGCGTTTTCTGCAACGCGTTCCAATTTCCGTAAAAAATAATTTTTAATTCCTGGCGGTTGCCTCCGGCAACGCGTTTTCTGCAACGCGTTCCAATTTCCGTAAAAAATAATTTTTAATTCCTGGCGGTTGCCTCCGGCAACCGCCAGGAATTAAATTAAACGTGAAATTAACTTCTAAATTAATTTGCCTTATTTTTATAAAATTTTATAAAAATTTTCAGTCCTAGACTAAAAGTTATAAATGAGACTCAAGTGTCCTTTTTAGTAAAAATTCATTTTTTAATATTCCCTTTAATTTTTACAATTTTTAAAGTTTATTTCCACTGATTTTAACCTTCAGACTCAAATATTCCAACCTCAGACTCAAGTGACCCCTTCAAAAATATTTTTAAAAAATTTGCTTGATTTTTCCACGTCGAATGACACCTTAATCATATTTTTCTGACAATTACTTCAAAAGTTACATAAAACAGCTCAGCGTTGCTTAACTTTCCAGATCGGACGGTTTAGAAAATATTTATTCAAATGTCCATTCTCAGACTCAAGTGACACTCTTAAAATTATCTTCATTCAACTCCTTATTCAATTCTCAATCGAATGACACCTCAACCATCTTTCTACGACTAATACATCAAAAGTTATAAACTTTTGAATTTAAGTCATAAAACATGCGGGCCTTCGGCCCGCATGCTTTCTGTAATGCGTTCGAATTTTAAAAAATAATTTTAGTTTCTGACGGTTGCCTCCGGCAACGCGTTATCTGCAACGCGTTACGAATTTTTAAAAAATAATTTAAATTTCCGGCGGTTGCCTCCGGCAACGATTTTATGCAACGCGTTCCGAATTCTTCGAAAAATAATTTAAATTTCCGGCGGTTGCCTCCGGCAACGCGTTATCTGCAACGCGTTCAGAATATAAATAAATAATTTTAGGTTCCGGCGGTTGCCTCCGGCAACGCGTTATCTGCAACGCGTTCAGAATATAAAAAAATAATTTTAGGTTCCGGCGGTTGCCTCCGGCAACGCGTTATCTGCAACGCGTTCAGAATATAAAAAATAATTTTAGGTTCCGGCGGTTGCCTCCGGCAACGCGTTATCTGCAACGCGTTCCGAATTTAAAAAAAAATATTTTTAATTTCCGGCGGTTGCCTCCGGCAACGCGTTATCTGCAACGCGTTCAGAATTTTTAAAAAATAATTTTTAATTCTGGCGGTTGCCTCCGGCAACGCGTTATCTGCAACGCGTTCAGAATATAAAAAAAATAATTTTAGGTTCCGCCGGTTGCCTCCGGCAACGCGTTTTCTGCAATTAAATATGAGACTCAAGTGTCCTTTTTCTTAAAAAGTTATTTTTTAATATTCCCTTAATTTTTAGAATTTTTAAAATTAATTTCCACTGATTTTAGCCTTCAGACTCAAATATACCACACTCAGACTCAAGTGACCCCTTCCAAAATATTTTTAAAAAATTCGCCTGATTTTTCCACGTCGAATGACACCTCATTCATATTTTTCCGATAACTACTTCAAAAGTTACAAAAAACACCTCACCGTTGCCTAACTTTCCAAATCGGACGGTCTAGATCGTCAAAATTAAAAAGTTTTCCCCAAAATTTTAATTTCTTAAAAAATTCATAACTTTTTCAAAAAAAAGTCGAAAAAGCATAAAACAAAGCTTATTCGATGCAGAATTTAATTCTCTATCTTCCATCTCCCAACACTTTTCTTTTAACTCCAAAACAAAATATAGTTAAGGTCAACTTTATACATTCTCCTCAAAAATGCACTTTTTGCTCCGTATCTTTTTTTCCTTTAATCCAATCAACTTGAAACCAACTTTTTTCTTAAGAAACCCACTACGCTCTACAACTTTTCTCCCAACGACTTTTTCCTATCTCGTCGATAAACACCTTAAATTCAAGGTTACCACTTTGACATAAAAGCTTGTAAACAGCATATCTACCCTTCAAGTTGTCAGAACGACTTCAACTCTTTTTCTATCATATTCGAAATATGCTCTAGATGTGCCCTCTCAACTGACCCAACTTCCCCCGACTTTATCTTTCATCTCAAATTTCACTTCAAAGTTTCGAAAAAACACGTTTTTTCAAAATATCTAAAAAATTCGCTTCTTGACCCCAACTTTTCGGATTTTTCCTGAAAACTACATTAAATTTCCCATCTATAGCAAAAAACCCCACCCCGATACACCCACTCAAAAGTTCTGGGGACTTTTTTTTAGCTGAGTGCCTTTTTATTATTATATATAGATAATTAAAAAATTACTTATTAAATCAAAACTTGAACGGCTTTTTTACTGTAATAAATACTCTCCTAGTTATAATTCTTTTAATAAAAATTAAATTAAGAACTCCTTTTGTATTAATTTCTTTAATTATTTAATTTTTAATATTTTTACCTTTTAATTTCATTGTTTAAGCACTCAAAAGTCAAAGTAAATAATCAATACACATTTATTTATTTTTATGTAATAAATGCAAAAAAAGGTTCCACTATTTTCCTCATCAACCTTTTCTTTTTTCCCTCTACTTATTTATTTTCTCTTTACATTACACCCAAAAATTCCCTAAACTAGCCCACGTACACCAAAAAAATGTATTTTATTACTTTACTACCTGTCATTGTGTTTTTGGGGCTTTCTGTGTCCTTCACTTTTCCCGTCCTCGTTTTCAAGAAATTATTTCCTATCAAAATTCACATCAAATTTTAAAAACGAGAGAAAATTTTATTTTTTCCTAAAAAATAATTAAAAATTCAATTATGTTTTTTTTCTATTGTATATTTATTTTTGTATCGAAAATTATTTGTTGTTTTTTTATTTAAACAATAAACTAATCCATTCTTTTTAACAATAAATAAAAAAATATTTTTTTATTGTCTCGTAAATACAAAACAAAATTTTAGTCAAAAAATTTTGCTCGGAAAAATTAGATTATATTTTGATATCAATAATTACAAAAAAAAAGAATTATTAATTTCTAACAAGTTTAGTTTTCTAGCAATTTCTAACAAAAGTTATGCTAAAAATAAATTAGGCTTCCATAATGTTGCACCCAATAAAGAATATTAAATAATGATCTTAAAATTAAAATAATTTTCTTCCTCGTTTTTTTATTGAGAATATTTTTAATAATTTATTTAAATATTTTTATTGAATTTTTATATAAATTATTTGTAATAATTACTTTTTTTTACCGCTAATATTCATTTATTCGTTCAATTACTAAAAGATTACTTTTTCGATCATTTTTGTGTGTGACCGAAAAGAAAAAATGAGAGAGGAGAGATTTGTTGAGCGAATATTTAATAAATAAATGAGTTAGTTAGTTAATTTATTTTAGTTTTTTGGTTGGTTGGTCAATAATTTTTTGTATTTATTTATATTTATTTTGTGTGTTGTTTGTCCTTCCAGACAGCTTTCCCCGCGTTTGACTAGAAAAAGGGGAGAATTATTCAATTTATTTGTTAATAAAAAATAAAATAAACATGCATAAATCCCCTCTAGCAAAACTTTTAAAAATTATTTAATTTTTTTTTGGATTTTAATATTTATTAAATTAATAATTTTAAATTAAATTTTTTTGTCCATTAATTAATAATTTTATTAAAATTTATTTTTTTATTTTTGTTTCATAATTTTAGTGTTTTTTGTACAAAATATAAATATTTATATTTATTAAAAAAGAGGAATTACTAAACAACAAAAATTAGTAAATATAACTACATAATGAATAAATTATGATAATTAAAAATAATAAATTAATTATTCTTTTTGATTTTTTTCTTTAATTAAATTAAAAAAAAATTATTTTTTTAAATTAAAAACATTTACTAAATGCGCCCCCCATTAATTTCTGCAAATGAAGAACCATTTGAACAGCATTATGAAATTGAAGAGGAAGTTGGAAGTGGACAATTTGCAACTGTTAGGAGGGTTAGAAATAGAGCTACTGGAGAAAGATTTGCAGCAAAATTTATTAGAAAGGTTTTAAAAAGTTTTTAATTAAATGGAAAGGAGGGAGGGGAGGGAGAGAGGGGTGAGAAGGAACTTTTAAATAATAAAATTAATTAATTTTAATCATTTATATTTTTTAAGCGTCGTTACCCAACATCCCGTCGGGGTGTCTTAAAATCCCATATTCAAAGAGAAGTAGATATTTTACAAACTGTTGCTGGACATGATTCAATAATTCAATTAATTGATTTATTCGAGAATGGACATGAAATGATTTTAGTTTTGGAATTGTAAGAAAGAGGATTAATTTTATTAATTTAATTAACAAAAATTTAAAGGATTTGTGGAGGAGAATTATTTGATTATGTTTATACAAACGAATATTTAACAGAAAATGAAGCTGCACAATTTATTTATCAAATATTGAGGGCTATTAAGCATTTACATAAATTACAAATAGCCCATTTAGACATTAAACCTGAAAATATTTTATTGAAAGAAAGTGGGAAAGCAAAGATTAAATTAATTGATTTTGGGTTATCTAGACAATTACCCCCAAAAAGTTGTATTAGAGAAATGGTGGGGACGCCTGAATTTGTTGGTTAGTTTTTAATAAATTTAAAAATTTAAAAAATAAATTTAATTTATTTAAGCACCAGAAATAATTAATTCTGAGCCACTTCAATTAGCAACAGATATTTGGGCAATTGGTGTTGTTACTTTTATTCTGTTTGTAGAATTTTTAATTTAGAAAAAAATATTTCTTTTAATTTAAAGTTTAAGCGGAGCATCCCCATTTTTGGGCAAAACTCGAGAAAAAACATTTGCAAATATTTCTGCTGTTAATTACAAATTCCCTGAACATTTATGCTCAAATTTTAGTTTAATAGTTAAAGATTTTATTGGGAGAATGTTGGTTAGAGATGTAAATAAGAGAGCAACAATTGATGATTGTTTAGAACATGAATGGATTAAAATGGTTATTTTAATCGAGAATTTAAATTTTAAATTATATTCTCGTTTTTTATAACCTCCAAATTTTATTTCAAGCACATATCACCATCACAATCCCAACAACAACAAATTCCTTCTCAACTTTCTTCAAATAAATCTTTAATTCTTTATCTTGATGATTATGACTTGGAAAATATAAAAATAGATTATAAAAAATATAAAAATATAATATCCCCAATAATTAGTCAATCAAGGAAAAGATGGAAGGTTTGGAGAAATAAATAGAATATTTTAAATAAAAAATATTTTTATTAGAAGGCTTATAAAGCTGTTCGTTGGTGTTGTTATTTTTTGAATGGAATTGGCGATAGAGAGCAGTCTAGATATTTTAAAGAGGTAATTAATTTAATTTAAAAATAATTATTACATATAATGATTGGGAAATGTTTTTTTAAATTTTTTAAACCTTTATTTTCTTAAAACTATTTGAAATTTTTTCTCGAATTAATATTTCTTTTAAATTAAAAAAAATAAAAGGACAAGGCAAAAAAAGTTATAAAAATATTATTATTAAATATAATAACGAGTTAATAGTAAAAGACAAGGCGTAACAAACGTTTATTTGATTGACATCTGATTAAGACAAGTAAAATACACACGCACACACAACCACCCTCCCCTTATTTTATATTTATTTTATATTTATAGCTGGAAGTTTATTTTTAAAGCCGGTTTTTTAATACTTACGTTTTTTATTTTTTAAATTTATTAATTTTTTTTCAAAAAATTGGCAAATCTTTCGAAATATTTTTTAAAGAAAATTTTAATTATTTTTTTTTTCATTTAATTAATATATAAGTATTTTAATATTTCAAAAAAATATTTTTTTAAATTCTAATAATCTTTACTCTTTTCTTAAACTCAAAAAAACTTTAAATTAAAGTACCACTCAAACCTGTAAAAAAATCAAGGACTACAACTTTGCCTTAATCATTTTATTTAAAAATCAATTACAAAAAATACTTATTTTTTTACTTATTTCGCCCAAAATGGTGGAAGAAGATTAAAAAAAATTTCGGAGAAATAGGGGAAGTGAAGAAGATGCGCAGTAAATACTAAAATTTATTTTTACGAGTTTCTAATTTGCTGTAATCTCGCCCCCGTCATAGTAACTTTTACGTATATTTTTAAGTACTTGTTAATCTTTTTTTTTAATTTTATTTTTTATTAAAAAACAAATCAATTTCTTTAAAAAAAGATATTTCCGTTGACTGTTTTTCTTAATATTTTTTGATTTTCCCATTACACATAATTTTTAAATTAAACTTTATTTTATTTTCTAATTTACCTAACTGTAATATATAAATTCCTCTCCTTTTTTCTTTTATTAATCACTCAAAAATTTTTTAAATCCTTCAATTGCTCTCTTCCAATTACAATAATTTCTTTGTTTTATTCTTCCCGATTTTTCCTTCATTAAATAAATTTACAAATAATTACTAAAAGGATTAAACAAAAATGTAATCCTTTTATTTGCTTGATTAATTTAATTTTTAAATTTAAATTTATTTTTATTTTAAATTTATTATCTTGATCTTTTTCCAAAAAACTCTACACAAAATAATTTTTATATTTAATTAAAATTAATTAATTATTAATATTTTTTAGTTGCGCTATAACCAAAAAATATTTTTAAATTTCTTCTTCCACAAATTTTCTTCTTTTTTTTTCGCAAAAAGCCCCACAAATCATTTTATTTATTCTCTCCTACCCAATTTTAGTTCATTTTTCTTTTAGCGTGCGCACAGTTTCTGTTTAACGTTGCTTTTTCTTTTTTTAATTAATTAAACTAAAAAATACTTTTTTAATAATAAAATTATTAAATTTTATTTAAAAGTCCATCAATCTTTTAAAATAATTTTTTTTTATTCTTATTAACGTTCTACTTAAAAACAAAAGAAAAAGCAAAAAAATAGTTAAATGAATATTTTAATTTTTTAATAAAACAAAGAATAATTATGATTTTCATAAAGTTTTTCAAATTATTAATTTAAAAATTCCTAATAGTAATTTAAACAGTTTATTTTAAAAATTAGTTTTTTCTACAAAGAAAGAAATTTTAAACACTTTTATTTCTTAATTTTATTTTACATTAACCTTATCAAAAAAATTCCAAATTTTTATTTAACTTATTGAGAAAATTCCTACACACATTCATAATTACTTTTTAAATACAAAAATATTTGTTTTTAAATAAAAACATTAAAAAATATATATTTTATTTATTTTTCTATTTATTTTTTATTTATTCGTCATCATTACATATTCGTTTATTTTTAACAAAATTTAGTATTAAAACAATTTATTAAAAAAAATATTCAACCAACTTTAATCACTTGTCAATAAAATATTTAATTATTTCAAAAAATATAATAAATAAATATTAACTCTTTTCACGAGTGACTAGTCTCTATTTTGTTAAAAATCTTTAACTTTTTTAACAAAATAAATTCTTGAACATTTAATTAAAGATACATATTTTAATTAATATTTATCAAATTAATTTAATTAAGAATTTAATTTAAATTAATTTCACACCTTTTTTTAAAAATATATTTATTTTACATATTCCATCTGTCAATATTTTATTTAAATCTATTAAATCTAAACAATAAACATGTCAGTTTTTTGTTTATTTGAAGGGCAGATTATTATCTATTTTAATTCTGTTCTTTTCTAATTAACTTTTAAAAAATTAGATTTAAAATTAAAATTTATCTAAATTCTTTATTTAAAAATTATTATTTTTAGTTTTAATAAACAAAAAACAAAATATTTCCCAATTATATTTTCTTTTAATTGTTTTATGCTTATAATGACAGGAATTTATTTAATTTACCTTTTAATCAAAACTAGATTATTGTTTTAGTTTCAGATTATCGAGGTTTTCTTATATTTTTTGGACTTTTTTGTCTTTAGTAATTAAAGCATTGTATTTTAAGTTTTTATTTGCTTGACTTTCTATTTTTAATTTTTAAATATATTTAAATATCAATTTTTAAATATTTTATCAATTTATTATTTAACATAAATATAATCTTTTGTTCGTCAAATAAATTCCAAAAGAAAATACTAAATAATCACTTTATTTATTGTTCTCTTATTTTTTAAAACAACTGACTTTTCTTTTACTTTTTTATACATACATAATAAATAATAAAAAAACAAAAAAAATCTCAGAAAAATGCGCCTTATCCGTGGAGGAAGTTTACACGGTCATTCTTCTTCCTCTTCCTATTATTCTTCTAATTCACCTGAAAATTCCTCAATTAGCTTTAATAGTGCCGAAATTAATAATAATTATTTTTACGAAGGAAGGGGAGGATTAATGTATTTAAATGTAAGTTTTTAGAGGAATATTTAATTAAATTTTTAATTTTCCAATCATTATTTGGAATTAATTAATTAACTTTTTTAAAAGTTTTTTTTAAAATAAATTAATTTACAAAAAATGTCCGACTAAAAATTTAAATTAATTTTTCATGTCAGAATGATTCAGTTGCCAGTGCTATCTTTCTTGCCTGTGAGCGTGGTGCTTTGCCAGAATTAAGGCAATTTGTTTCCAGTTGTTTTGTTGAATTAGCTCATTTAACAAATGAGGTTTCTATAAACTTTCAACTTTCTATTAAAAAAAATTTAAATAGTTGGATGAAACCCCTTTACATGTAGCGAGCGGAAATGGATTTGAGGAATTGGTACATTTTCTTTTAAAATGTGGGTGTAATCCAAATATTGGTGATGGACAGGGAGATACTCCTCTTATATGGGCAGCTAGAAATGGTTTAAAAATTAATTAAAATAAAATTATTTTAAAATAAATATTTAAGGACATACAAATGTATTTAAATATTTACTTAAATCTATTGAAATGGTTAATGCTACAAATAAAGTTAATTAATTAAATTTAAATTTAAAAATTATTAAAAAAAATTAGAATCAAGAAACAGCTTTACATATAGCTACAAGATATACACAAGGGAAAGTAGTTCTTGCATTGCTAGAAGCTGGGGCTGATCCACATTTGATGGATAAAGTAAAGAAATTAATTAATTTATGGTTAAACAGGTTTCGAATAACCTACATAAATCTGAATATACATATAATCTTTATTATTTAAATGAAATTAAAAGGATTAAAATAATTTAAGTATAAATTAAAAAATATATAAATAAATTCAGCATTTGGAAACTTCACTTCACATTGCTGCTTGGGATGGACAGAATGGCCTTTTGGATTTACTTTGCCGTTTCAGTCATTTTTTGGATATTCAAAATTCGGTAATTTAAATTAATTGGGAAATAAATAGCATTCCTCCCCTATTTAACTTTTTTTCTGTCATTTATTTTCTTCTATTTCGGCAAAATATAAAATCTAAAAGTTATTTTTGCAACTTTTTTTTATTAAATAATCTTCAATTTTTTTGCATATTCTTAGTTTTTTGTTATTGTATATGTAATTCACAATTTTGCAGGCATATTTTAGCTAATCCTAATTATGATTACATATATAATGTTTAAGGAAAATAAATAAAGAAATTTTATTTTTCTACAAAAAATGGTACTATGCGTTTATATCCCCCCAAGTCCGCAAAAGTTGTCCGCACTTTTTTCCATTCCTTTCTCCTATCGAAGATTAGATCAAGCGTTAATAAACCCACATTCTCTTTTTCTTCTCCTTTCTTCTTCTTTTCTCATAAATAGGGTTGTTATTTTCGAGTCGTTATCGGTTCGGCTCTTCTATTTTTACTTGACCATTTTTAATATTTACGAGAGGGTTGCTAAAACAGACTGACTCGGACCGAAGGATCGAACTTAAAGCGTTAATGAACCCACATTCTCTGTTTCTTCTCCGGAAAAAGAAACGTACAGCCCAAACCGATGACAATGAGGCCCGAAAAAAATGACTCGACCGGCGGTCCGACTCGAAAATAACAACCCTATTTATGAGAAAAGAAGAAGAAAGGAGAAGAAAAAGAGAATGTGGGTTCATTAACGCCTGACCATTTCTAATCCTTATGATAGGAGAAAGGAAAGGAAAAAAAGTGCGGACAACTTTTGCGGACTTGGGGGGATATAAACGCATAGTACCCAAAAAATATATTTATTTTTTTTCTATTTTTCAATCCATTATTCTTTCCATAAATGCATGCAAAAAAGCTTAAGCCGAAATTATTTTGTGTGAGATATATAAATATTTTTCTATTTTTGCCTAGCATTTTGGGACAAAATTGAGGAGGTGTACATAAGCTTTACAAACAAAAATTGGAGTAGTGTTATTGGCTTTTTAAAGCCTTTTTTGTTCGTGTGTCTGCTACTTGTTGAGTCAATAATTTAATACTAAATGCATGAAAATAA